CTTGAAAATTCTATAACCATACCGGAACACAGCAGTCCAGAAATAACCACACCACACTGGACTATTCCAGACCTGGCAACAGAAAAGAGCTGGTGTGGTGTGGTATAGTATGGTATGGTGTGCGGTCGGTAACAAGATGGCACCTGTGCTTGGCTTAGTCGCGGTTACAGGCCACTTTTTCAAACTTTTTTCCACCAACCTCCTCTTTTCCACCTTGCTCCTGTCTGTGATCCTCTTCGGTAGTGTCCCTGCTACCATCTCCCATGATCGCCAGACTCTCTTATTCTTCCGTTCGTTCACGATCGCCCAAGATGCACCAAGGACGTACCTCCCTGTTTGTCTAACTGAGTGGCGCGCTGGCCCGGAGCCAAACGACGATTCCAGTCAGCGATGTTTATCCGTACCCGGGAAAACGTCGGACGAAAAGAGGTAAACGAGCAGGAATCCAGGTGAGAATAAAACCTCTCTTAAAGCGTGGTTTATCTAGTAAACATCGGCGCAATCTTCTAGCTTCTTGTCCTTTGTTTGGCAACCTGAGAGCCACTTCTGCACTTCCGCCAGGCCGCGTTGGGGCACGATTTCTCCGTCCAAGTTTTTTAAGGTCTGTTTATCCTCATTCTTCAGTGGTTTCCCCTCCTGTTCCCTCCATGAGTGGTTTTTATAAACACCATGGATCTAACCCTGCTAATTTACATCCACTAACTCCAGCTGTTTCTGTAGTTTCTGATTCCTCCACATCACTCAGAATGGCTCTATTAAATACCCGCTCTGTTAACAATAAGTCCTTACAGCTTAAAGATCTAATTATCTCTAAAAACCTGGATTTTCTGTTTCTGACAAGTATGGCAGCAAACATCTGATTATTCTGGTCTGATTGAACTCTGCCCGAGTGGTTATTCATCCTTTAGCCAGCCCTGGGGTTCTGGTCGTGGTGGAGGCTTAGCTGTTGTTTTCAGAGACTATCTTCCATGTAGCTCTACAACCTCTGGTCACTTTGCTTCCTTTGAACTGAAGCTGATTAAAGTCAGGTGTAAGAACCCGTTCTACTGTGCTGTGGTCTAATGTCCACCTGGTCCAAACAGTTCTTTCCTTCAGGAGTTTAGTGACTTTCTATCCTCCACTGTGAAGCTGCCCAGACTGGTGCTTGTTGGTGATTTTAACATCCACGTTGATGATCCCTCAGATCACTTCACCATGAATTTATCCAGCCTCATGGACTCCTTCAGCTTTATCCAGCATGTTTCTGGCCCCACACACACCAGGGGGCACACTCTAGACCTTATTTTTTACCCTGAATCTAAATGCTGACAGTGTTTGTCCTGAGGACGTTTATATTTCTGATCACCACTACATTATCTTTAACTTGCCAGTTTCTGCGTCCCCACCTCCTGCTCGCCGTCTGGTTAGTTCTCGTTTTCTTAATGAGAGCACAGCTAGCAATATTTCTGCTGCATCTGATCCACCATGTTCTTCTGACAACAACCCAGATTCCTTGCCTTCTCAGTTTAATGAGCACTGCCTCTCCATTCTGGACAATATATGTCCTGTCAGATCCAGATCAGTTCCTGCAGTGAACCCTACTCCCTGGTTTAATGACAGCCTTCGCAGCCTGAAGCGCCAATGCAGAAAAATAGTGCGCTTGTGGAAGAAAACCCGTCCCCACATCCATCTGCTGCACCTAAAGGATCTTCTGACATCCTTTAACTCTGCAGTCGGAGACGCGAGGGTTGCCTATTTTTCCAACCTGGTGTCCCAGAGCAAAGGGAACCCCAAGGTGCTGTTTAACACCATCAGCAGTATCGTCTCTCCAGCCACTCCTACAGCCTCCATTAACTCTGTTGCAGACTGTGAAAACTTTCTGTCTTTCTTTGTGGACAAAGTCAATAGGGTCAAATCTAGCATCTCTCCCTCAGCCTTATCGCTGCCTCCCCCGACTCCAACCAGGCCCATCATCCTAGATAGCTTTGCTCCTGTTTCTTTGCCTGAGTTAACCAAACTAGTTAACTCTATGAAGACCTAAGGTAGCGCGACTCATGTTGCGAAGGACCACAGTCACCAATTCTTGTCATGTGTCTTGCCCATGTATGTCTAATATCTGAATTGTGTGTACTGAAACTCAATTTCATTTCTCTGTTTGTCTTGCACATGTGGTAGAATTGACAATAAACTTACTTTGACTTTGACCTCTGCATGCCCCCTCGACATCTTACCCTCATCGTTGTTTAAAAGTGCTTTTCAGTCCATCGGCCCCAGCGTGCTCTCTATAATTAATTCTTCTCTGGTCTCTGGTCAGGTTCCTGCTTACTTTAAGAACGCTGTAATCCACCCGCTTCTTTAAAAAACGAGTCTTGACCCCTCTTTCATTAGATGCTTCAGACCCATCTCTAAACTTCCGTTCATCTTCAAGATCTTGGAAAACTTTGTTCCTAAACAACTCACAGCTGCTCTTGATGAACATAACATCTATAATTGCTTACAGTCAGGTTTTCGTAGAGCTCATTCTACTGAAACAGCTCTTCTTAGGGTCTCTAATGACCTTCTGACTCACAGTGATGCAGGGGACTGTTCTGTTCTGGTCCTGCTGGACCTGACTGCAGCCTTTGACACTGTTGACCATCACCTGCTCCTGGAGAGGCTGAGAGACTGGGTAGGCCTATCAGGAACTGCTCTGGAGTAGTTCTATTCTTATCTTTCTGAGCGTTCCTTTTCTGTGGCCATCTCCAAGTTTAGGTCCTCCACCACCTTTCTTACCCATGGTGTCCCACAAGGTTCTGTGCTGGGGCCTCTGCTTTTCCTCCTCTATCTGCTTCCTCTTCAGCACATCCTGAGCTCCTTCAAAGGAATCTCCTACCATCTTTACGCAGATGACATCCAACTGTACATCTACTTTAAGCCCCATGAGATGTCTAAGCTGTAGCTGTTACACCTGGATGGCTGGGAGCTTTCTACAGCTGAATGAAGATAAGACTGAGATCATCATCTGTGCCCCAGACAAGCTGGTTCCCAAAGTCAGAGACTATCGTGGTCAGCTTGCTTCTCACACCAAACCCTCAGTCAGGAATCTTGGTGTGACCTTTGACCCAGCTCTCACCCTGGATTCTCATGTCAGTTCTCCTGTTCGCTCTTCCTTCTTCCATCTCAGGAACATTGCAAAGCTGAGTCCTATTCTGTCCCGCTCTGAACTTGAGACAGTTATCCACACCTTCATCTCCTCACGCTTAAGACTACTGTAACTATCTTTTCACATGTCTGAGCAAAACCTCCCTGAACCGTCTACAGGTGGTTCAGAATGCCTGTGCTCGGCTTCTGATCAAGTCCTCCAAACACACCCACATCACCCCGCTTCACCTCCAGCTTCATTGGTTGCCAGTCAACTTCAGGGTTCATTTCAAGATCCTGGTTCTGGTCTATAGGGCTTTACATGGACAAGCACCATCATACATTGGTGATCTTCTTAGTCCCTACACCCCCAGCAGGTTCCTGAGGTCCAGTGATCAAAGCCTATTGGTTGTGCAGCGCACCAGGCTAAAGACCAAAGGTGACAGATCATTTGCCTCTGTGGCCCCCAGACTCTGGAACTCTCTCCCACTGAGCCTGAGATCAGTGGGCTCGGTGGTCTCCTTTAAAAACTGCTGAAAACTCACTTGTCCAGGCTGGCTTTTGTGTGACGTTCATCACCCTCTCCTTTTTCTGTTCTCTCTACCTATTCCACCTTCCTCAGGATCCACTGATTTCCCTCTTTCCTATTCACTCTCTCTTTCTTTACATTTCTAATCACAATTGTCTATATTTTGCTCATTTTAAATATATTTTCAATCATTTTCTAAATTCTTTTTTAAATTTTTACATTTTTTGTTTTTGTGAAGCGCCTCGTGATTTTTATCTTGAGAGGCGCTATAGAAAAGATCTTTTCTTCTTCTTCTTCTTCTTTTGAAGAATAAACCAGAAAATACTGGTTATCTCATATTTGGGGAAACAAATTTAGTTTAATCGAAATCAACAGCTAAAAGCACAGCACAGTATTTTTATATTTGACTAATGTGAAGTAAACGGAAGAAGTTACTATTTGGAATACAGCACAAGTTCATTTCTAGACAACTATAACTCTATGAGGATTGGAGCTTGACTGTGAGATTTTGATTTGAACTTTATAAAATCTGATGTGCAGTATAAGAGAACTACTGAGAACTGTTTGAGTTTCAGGGTCACTCATTTATGTGGCATATTCAGGGTCATTTGCGTAAGGCGTGGTGGGTGGGGGGGTCACTGGCGGAGGGTGTTGGGAGCTTTAGTTTAGTATGCAGGGAGGCAGGGGAGGGAGGGCATGCGACATCCACAGAGAGCCAGAACCCTCGCTGACCTCTGTCTATAATTCATCCCCTGGAATATGGGGCACATCAAACCGCGGTTTCTTCCCACCCAAAAAGAGGAGAGAAAACCTTTTCACTTTGTTGCATGGCACTATGACCCTGTATTAAAGCAAGTAGCCGGAGAAACCCTGGAAACGTTACAGTCATAAAATTTTCAGGCCTCGTCCCAGGAGATCGTATCCAGCAAGTCCTGGCTTCATGGACAGGAGGAGACTGAGGAAAGACCTCATGCTGACGGGAGGAGCAGCACAAAGTCAGTGTCTGGTTAAGGAGTAAACGCTTTCCTTTCATCTGAGGTGGAGCCAACAGGTACGCATACAGGCAACAACACTCAAATACTCATTAATATAAGATTATTTGAGTGTGTGTGTTTTAGGAAGCAATGAAAATGAATAAAATGACAATATGATCACAAGATCAGGCCCTCGGGATGGCAATATCCACAACCTACCAGTCTTTTTTCCTCCGGAGTTTCATTAAGAATGTTGAAATAAAACTCTGTGTGTGTGTGTGTGTGTGTGTGTGTGTGTGTGTGTGTGTGTGTGTGTGTGTGTGTGTGTGTGTGTGTGTGTGTGTGTGTGTGTGTGTGTGTGTGTGTGTGTGTGTGTGTGTGTGTTGAATAGAACTCACCAGATACTGTAAACTGCTTTTGATGTTCTCCGCGTCCCTGTAAAAAAACAACACATTTGCAACTGTAAATAGTCAACAAAAGAAATCACTTAATGATTAGATGTGCTTGTCTTCAATTTCTCAGCATACTAAAACAATAGTAAAATGTCATAATTTTTTTTATCTTATTATACAAAATGTTTGCAAAAATTAAGAAAGAAAATCTGAAGAAAAAAAAGTAGTGTTTTGCTGTGGAGCAGATTATTTTTCTGTAGTCGACTAATTTCAGCTCCAACTACGATGCAGTTTACAACTCAAAAACATCCTAATCATATAATCAGGGAAAATGATCTAAACTACATCAAGGAGGTTTTGGATAATCAAAAGGAAATAAACAAATAGAGGTTTGAACCCAACTGTTCACCTTTCAGGCTGTATGCACAGTTTTGCATCTTACACCAGACAGAGGTTAACTAATATTGTCACCACACTGCTGGCAGTCATAATGATGATTTCCAACTACAAAGAAAGAGCAGGGAGCTTATTATATGTGAATTAATTTACAAAAAAATGTGTGTATGATTATCGTGGTAGCAACAGCCGAACGGCGAGCCGAGGAAGTGGAGGAGGAGTGGGGAGCGGTCTGTTTTAAAAAGAGCAAATTGGCAGTAAATAATAGATGCAATTTTGGCACATTTCAAATTTGCAGCAGTGGAAATCAAAAGATCAAGAGAACACAAACAGCCCCCATCTCCGATCCCAGCACCCCTCGTCCAATCCTGGCCTCCATTGCTGACAACTCCACCCAGGCTGTGGCATTTTACCATGTGTGTGTGTGCGTGTGTGTGTGTGTGTGTGTGTGTGCGTGCGTGTGTGTGTGTGTGTGTGTGCGTGCGTGTGCGTGTGTGTGTGTGTGTGTGTGTGTGTGTGTGTGTGTGTGTGTGTGTGTGTGTGTGTGTGTGTGCGTGTGTGTGTGTGTGTGTGTGTGTGTGTGTGTGTGTGTTGAGAGGAGTACAGCTTATCGACAAGCTTCAGTTGCTAATGCAGCTGGCAGCATCACGGTGTAAATCTACACCATCTCTAAAATTACATACTGTCTAATCTATCCCAATGTCCAACTTCCTCCCCCAATATTCCTCTGTGCATCTGTCCATCCATGTCCCGTATGACCACACGTCATCAAATTTTTTAAAAGGGCTGAAATGTCAAACAGAAAAAGAAAACGATGTTTACTTGTTTACTCTGCACAAGTCAACCACTTAAGGCAAACTTCATCTAGCTGTAATTAGATTACATTCTGACAAACACCCCGCCACATTCATTATACATGACGGGAGCCCAGCAACTAGACAGCAAGACATTTGTTACTGTGGTGACAGTGTGTGTAATCCGCTAATGAAGCACAATTAGTGAGAAACAATCCAACACAGGGGAGACGGAGCGCTTGATCCTGCCTCCTCTACTCATTTCCTTTCTTTTTCCTGTTCATCTCACTCCTCACTCATTTAAACGTTTTTTTTTTCCTTTTCTTGTTTTTTCCCCCCTCATTTTATTAACCTCTTCACATACATTTAATCTCTCTCTTTCATCTGTTGTTCTGACTTCATCAAGGGCAAGCTGTCCAGTGCTGTCCGCACTGGGGCCAAGGGGATCGCTCTATCCATTAGACATGCAAACACACACACACACGATTTTACATCCTCGTCTCTCTTTTCAAAACATCATATAATCTGCCGAGGTCTTTGGGGACAGAGTTTTCCTTTCCTCCTATCTCTCTCTTCCCTCCTCAGCGCGTGTGTCTTCAACGCAGAGGCAGCATCGATTTCTGAATTACGCCACAATATTAAATAATTAATATACTTGCAATGATTGATGTTTTGCATTAGGCCAATATTAGGTTATCAATCAAAATCCACTTGGTTTAATGTAATAATATTGAAAATGTGTCAGTGCCTGTTCATCCAATTTGTAGTGGATGCAGGCTAGATAGTAATGGTGGTGTAGCACAAGGCCTCAGAGACACTATGGCCTGCTTACTACAACCGCAGGAGCGCATTACAGCTCCAGAACACAGCAGGAAAAAGGGAGGGGAGAGCTGGAACAGGACGGGAAGCGCAGACATGGAAACAGAAGAATGAAGCCGATATACTCGGATGTACCGGCAAAAATGGTAAAATGGTAAATGGCTGTATATGTATAGCGCCTTCTTAAACCCCCCTAGGCGCTTCACAACACAATCAGTCACACACACATTCACATGCTGGTGGAGATGAGCTACGATGTAGCCACAGCTGCCCTGGGACGCACTGACAGAGGCAAGGCAAGGCTGCCGAGCACTGGCGCCACCGGTCCCTCCGACCATCACCAGCAGGCAAGGCGGGTTAAGTGTCTTGCCCAAGGACACAACAGGAGAATTCTCTGGTCGGAGCCTGGATTGAACCTGCAACCTTCCGATTACTGGACAACCCGCTCTACCTCCTGAGCTACTGCTGTCCCATTAAAAGATCGAGATGTTCTCAAGGTGTGGAATGGATTTCCTTTATTTCAACATAATTTAAAGAAACTATAATTTTTATTCAAAATCTACCTGCTCTGAAGTAAATTGATTGAGTTTGTGGTGAGATTAAAGAGCAAGTCACTCCCAAATAAACTTTTTTTTGCTGATAAACTAAATAAACAAGTGTCTAATCGTGCTGCACACACGTGTCGTCAATAATTTGGCACTTCAGTGCATCTTTGTTAAAATTTAAATATTCTGCCTAAAACTGGCAGTGTTGTGCCGTTGTCAGGTAAAAACTCTCCACTGTATTCTAATTTAAATCTGCCACCGCTATTGGCTAAGAGGTATAGTATGATGTCATCTGATACATTATGATGTCACAATGCTGTCGTGAGCCTGTGTGTGTGTGTATTTGTTAGCAGCTCCGCCCCCTCGGTCTGCCAGGAAACAGCATTTGTTGCATTTTTCAAACATGAAGTGGGAGTGGAGTTAGAATCTGGTAGGGGTTGACTTGCTCTTTAAGTATAAACCAACCAATATTTTTTGACATTATTTTCTTCTGCTAATGATATTTTGGATGCAAGACCAGCAATGAAATCCTAACAAATCTTTTTATTAAGTTTGGATATTATGCTGATATGGTAGCCTGGCACACTGTTGTATATATGTGAATATATAGTCTGGCCACAGTCCATTGACGGCATACAACGTGATGTTCTCACTGCTACGGATGTCATTTAACGAGGCATTCCGCAATCCTCCGTCAAAGAAGACGTAAATACATCCTTTTTCTAAATAAATTAAAGTACCTCCATCTCTTGACTCAAAGAAAAGCCCAAATCAAAATAGTCCAAAGTTGATGCCAAAGCGGTTTCAAACTAGCAGTCACCGTCTTTGTTTTATCTGTAACATCCTGCCCACCAACAGAGTCCTGAGATTGGCCCACAAAACCAGTAGAGCACTGTGATTGGATCGCCAAACTGTTTCCATCTTAGTTTCACTCAGCCACACTAACATCCCGTCCACTTGACTATGACAGAGGGCTGTGATTGGCCCACCAAACAGATATAGTGATTGGTACCGCGACTGAACTGCTACAGATGTCAGTCAACGAGGCAGTCCAGCATACATCTTTGAAGAAGCAGAGAAGAAGACAAAAATACATTGTTTTTCTAAATAAATGTGCTGTGATTGGCCAGCCATAATACTGGGGCTGTGGAAGTTCCAATCGAGCATTGCTAGACCAACATGCAAAGCAAAATTATTTTTGCTTCGGCAAATGATGGTCTAGATTCTTGTATACTGATATGGACCAACCAGCCATCAGTTTTTTACTTGTTGCTCAGATGACTTTTAACAGAGACGTATTCTAGCTGCACAAAAATGGGATAAATTGTAATAGCTAGAAACTTCTATCGTGGTACTCCAGTCTTGACAATCAATGAGGAGAGACCTTGGTCTGAAGTGGTGAGGAAGAAAGCAAAACCAGAAAGGCATCAACTTGTATTATGGTTAGGTCTAGTTAATGCTGTCTGATAAAGGTTCCTTTAGCTCAAACAACTAGAACGTTATTGTAGATTCAACATAAAGGTTACATAATTACTTGTATACCAACAGTCTGGTTCGGCTTCTTATGACCCTCCATCTGCTGGACAAGTGGGCATAACAAATGAAGCACCAGAAGAAGGTGGCCCAGTCCTAAGAATCACATTTTCCTTTCCAACATGCAGACTAAAAAGCCAGCTGATGGCAACAGTGTGATACTTTGAGCATTTTTAGCTTAAAAACCATGTGGATGTTTGTCTCACATGAACCAACAACCTAAACACTGTTGCTGACCAAGTACAGTCCTTCCTGGAAACGGCAATCCATCATGGAGGTGGCCTCTTTCAGCCGAATAATATGCCATGACAAAATAAATACACCAAGAATGGTTTAAGAAGCAGAACAATGGGTTTGAGGTCTCGACTTACGCTAAAACTTCTCCAGACCTCGGATCAATCGAGCAGCTGTGGGATGTGCTGGAGAAACAGTTTTTGATATATGATGATGCCACCTTACAAGTTAAAGGAACTCAAAGCATCTGAGGGGTTGATGCCAGATGCCACAGAAGACCTTAGAGATAAGAGTTGGTGACGTAATTGTCCAAGGACTTTTATGCAACAAAATTACAGCTGGCATCATTAAACAGCTTCATATTCAATGCCCGAAAAAGTGATTAATAAACAATCACAGCCATAACAATATGTGTTCTAAAAGTGCTTAAAATCATATGTTGGGAATTCCTGGGAATAAGAAATCTTAAATTTAAAGCTGTAAATAAAACATTTTTGAGTTGAGGATATTCAGAACTCATACTGAAGTAAAAATAAAAATTTGTACTGGTCATACTGGTCAGGTATGAGCTGTCCTCCCTGTTTGTTGCAAGGAAGACCTTGACGCAGGATAATTTAAATGATCAACGTTTGAATAAGTCTTATGTTTCATGCCCAACCCTGTTTTCCTTTTCCAAAGTGCTGCAAGGCAGCAAGACAGAAAACCTGACAGAAAATGGCAAG